ATCGGGAAGAGGTGTGGAAATATGGATAGATAAAACAGATAGATATATGAATAGATAGATACAGACAGATAATCTATAAGAAGGTTTTAGTGACCAATGACCATTTATCCTCTAAACCAGTGTTATCCAAACATTTTCGCCTATTGTACCCTTTATCACCTTCTTGTACTGTTACGTACCCCCCCCCCCGCGTCCACCATGGCTAAACAAACTGTTTTATTTAAGGATAATGCAAGTAATATACTTATTATGAAAAGACTGTATTGCAGGAGTGTTTAATACACGGATAAAAAGATGATTCATAGAACGTGATGTTTCTGTTTATGTGTGTGTGCGTGTGTGTGTGTGTGTATGTATGTATGTATGTGTGTGTGTGTGTGTGTGTGTGTGTGTGTGTGTGTGTGTGTGTGTGTGTGTGTGTGTGTGTGTGTGTGTGTGTGCGTGTGCGTGTGTGTCTTCCTTGTTTGTCCACGTACCCAGTTTGGGCAACGCTGCTTTAAACTACGCCCCACAAGGAAACAACCGTTACGTCGCAGAAGGTCGTCAGCTCGTTCGGTGAGCAAGGGACCGCCCATCCCAAGAGATTTCCCCAAAGCCGTTACCTAAAGCCATATTAGGGCTGTCAGACCAGCGAAGGCGGGGACGGAGTGGCAGTTTGGGGGTTGAGCTCGCCATTCGCTCCCAGACGATTCTCGTATCGTGTCAATGAAAGCCGTTTTTTTGTTTAAATAAGTTTCGTTTACTACCAGCGATAAATAGGAACATCTGACCGTGGACACCGTTGACATCCACGTCACTGTTGGATAAAATTCTTCGCTTCTGGAAAAGGCGAGGGCAAAATCCGCGCCGAGGAACTACCCAACACCTCGTCCGGTAAGGCGAGTGGCAGGCCCGCACTGGCAGTTCTACGTTCGCGCCATCACCGAGGAATCGTGTTGTTTGAGTCGACCGGCAGCAGTCGAAACATTAAGAGGCGAGTCATTTTATTTGTATGTAACACTATAGTTTGATTGCTAATTTTATTTGATGGTTAACATTTCCCTCTTGGTAATTGTTTAGAGCACTTTCGCAGGACGATGGTAGTATCCATGGATTCCTCTTGCCCTCTATTACCCATATGTGGAGGACATTTGTTGCGGTGCCCCCCCCCCTCTCAAAATAATTTGAAAAACTATCCCCGACAGCAGGGAGGGCATGAAAGGTACGAGGGAAATTGCAGGATAAGATGTAAATAATATACACGAAATATTCTAACAATGATACACATACTATCACACTACAATGTGATATTCAGGGATATAACTCTGCAAACCCCCGCCCTGGAGGGCAAAAAATCCGTAGTCAAGGAAGATGCAGCTACAACCGAAATGCGGGAGGTCCCGATGAAGCGTCTGTCCTACACTGTTCTGCCGCCCATAAGTAAACTATTTGTGGTGTATGTGTGTGGACAGCAGCTTCCCATGGGGAGACATTTTGACTATAAATTGACTAGCTTTCTATATTAACATTCTACTTCAAAACTTCCCCGTTACCATCAGTGCCCTACCCTGCTGTCAGGGTCCATATTTTAGGTATCGTGGGTTTCCGCGCCACAATTTGTATAGGTATGCGGGTGGTAGAGAGTGAGAGGAATCCACTGATGTTACAATCGTGATCGGTCATGCGCAGATACTCTGAACATTCTCCCATCCGTGCTCAGAGATGTGCGGTGCGCGCTATTTTACACACTGTTATTTAGTATTAATGTCATGTCGCTTTCGTAATCATGGATCATTACCGTGACACTTTTTTTTTTCTTTTAAGGTACGGGCTATTTTGCTGACCTCCAGCTCGATCTCTGCCGGTCGAACAACTTGATTGGCTCGGAGCTTAACTGTCCCACGTGCGACTGACTTGTCTGGACAACAAAATTTATTGCTAGGAAAAAAAAAAAAAAAAATGCGAAGAGCTAAGAAACAACAACCAACCAAACCCAACCAACAACCAACCAACCAACCAACCAACCAACCAACAAACCAACCAACAACAACAACAACCAAACAACAACCAACCAACCAACAACAAACCAAACCAACAACAACAACCACCAACAATCACCAACCAAACAACCAACCAACCAACCAACAAACCAAACAACCAAAACCACCAACCACAACAACCAACCAAACAACACCCAACCAACCAACCAACCAACCAACCACCAACCACAACAACCAACCACCAACCAACCAACCAACCAAACAAACAACCAACCACCAACCAACAAACAACCAACCACAACCAAACAACCAACCAACCACCAACCAAACAACAACCAACCACCACAACCAAACCAACCAAACAACCAACAACCAAACTCAACCAACCAACCAAACAACAACCAACCACCAACCAACACCAACCAAACAACAACCAAACCAACCAACCAACCACAACCAACCAACCAACCAAACAACAACCAACCACCAACCAAACCAACCAACCAACAACAACCAACCACCAAACCAACCAACACCAACCAAACAACAACCAACCACCAACCAAAACAACAACCAACCACCAACCAAACAACAACCAACCAACCAACCAAACAACAACAACCAACACAACCAACCAACCAAACAACCAACCAAACACAACACCAACCAAACCAACAGCTTTCAAAGAACACCTGGTTTCGATAACAGTAAGCTCAATTTTGAGTCACCTAGTATGCAAGAGAGCTTTTCTTATGCACGGATCGACTTTCAATTTTTAAACAAGATGCGATTTTGTCATTAGGTATTAATTTGGTGTTTAAATAATGTCAAGAAACAAGGGTGGGTCAAGGGAATTACTAAATATTTATGAACCAAAACACTGGAAAACGAGAACATAACGTAGGTCGAGTAACTGAAGTGCAGTGGGTTTTAGGATTGCCACAAAAGTAGGATTCTTTTCTCGTACCTGTGGAGACGCGTGACTCTGCTTATCGTCACTAAAGAGCGTATCCACCCAGTGGCAAGTCATCAGTGACTGTTAGAGGGAATATCGTTGGCAAAAAGAGGGCTATTATCATCTATCTGTGAACCATTCATATAATTTTGTTGACCATTACAAAATGGCGCACGCGAAGCGATCAAGAGAAATAGGAGGGAAGCCAAAGCCAAAGTGCCTCGCTTCGATAGGAGATGCCACTTCGGCTATCTGGCCAGGGCCATCTTCCTTGCCAGAATAAAAGAATCCATCAATTCCTCGCCGCAGCTCGTCTGTACCCTCCACACTGAAGGTATGTCAAAGAATTTCGGTATTTTTTTGGAATACGTTCGCCTAACGGATCGCGACGATTTCGGTATCGTTGGATTCCTCTCATCGTCTACAATACAAATATGAAGGTTTTATTGTGCTCCCCCAACCCCCTCATTCTTGGCCCCAATAGCAGAGGAGGGCATGAAAAGTACCTGGAAAATTGCGGGGTAAATGATATGCATAGTATCAGTCTCTATACTGTGTAATGCTGTGACACCTGCAACCCCCCCCCCCCCATGGAGGGCCGCCGCTCCAACCCCACCCAGGAAAAACAAAATCTTCCACATACACACGGCAGGCGCGAGCGGTGCAAAGTCTGTCCGACGCTCTCTCTTGCCGTGAATACGTAGAGGATTCTTTATTTTCCTGGACAGGGGTTAGGGGGCGGCAGCTCCCCATGGGGGGGGGGTGCAGGGACAATATAGTGACCGATTCTGTGTATATAATTTCCATTTTACCCTGCAATTTCCCCGGTACCTTCCGTGCCTTCCCCTGCTTTCGTGGTTAAAGGGGTTGTCACACTAGCACAATTTCCGTGGTTCTTTGACGTTTTCGTGTTTTTTTTTCTCGCTACCGCTTGTATTTTGGGTGAATGCGATAAATTCCAGTCAAACGATAATTATCGTTTTCGCTGCCAAGTTTCCGTGGTCTTTTTCGTTCAAATGATGACAAGCTATAATAGATAATCGTTATAGTAATGTAAAAAAGGTATTTATAATATAAAACGATTCAAAAAGACCGTCTAAACTGTAAATATTTTAAAATTGGCAAAATTCTCTCTCGTATTTAATAAAAACAAATACAAGTTTGTAACTAGCTGCACGCGTTTGTTTACATTCGTCCCCGTCAGCTGACTAGAATTAGAGTAGCGAGAATACGCCCTCATTTAGCATTATACATTCGTTGATTCGCATTAAATCATCGCCACATAGCCAGAATAACGTCCATCATCGCCAGAGCCTCTGCGGGGGTTGAACCCATCTTTCTGTGTTTAGAATTTTGGTCGGACTGTTTCCGTGGTTCTCATCGCTAGTGTGACTGCGCGAGCCGAAATGACCAGGATTTCCGTGGTGCCACCGGAAAAATAATGCGGAAAAAGTGCTAGTGTGACATGGCCTAAAGGATGTGAAGGGGGGGGGGGGTCTGCACAATAATTTCTCAACATTTGGAATCTAGACAGTGAGAGGAATCCAACAATATCGAAATCGTCGCGATCCGTTAGGCGGACGTATTCCAAAAAACTACCATATTTTCTACAGCTAAATTGTAGCTTTTGGCCCAGAGTGCAATTAAAGGGATTTAAGCAATTGTGAATAAACCGTTTGTCATCATTGACACAGCTTCCCAGAGAATCCAGTTTTTGTGCATAAATTTTGCTCTTGTTTAATTTGCAGCTATTTTTTTTTTTTTTTTTTATGCTGGTTGGGCAAAGTTTTCAAGAATTCATTTTTCGTGTATTATGGAAACGTTTGGATCGTCTTTCAATTTTTTAACATCCGTGTAAGAAAAAAAAAAAATCTGAGGCATTGTTTGACTCAATTGCCTTGTTAACGTTTCATGAATCACTTCCTAGTTCTCCAACTTGGAATTGACTTCCAGTGCCATCTGTATTACAACTCCCCACCCCTCAAAAAAAAAAAAAAAAAAACGGTTCCTCAATATCGTTAGGCAGAGGGAATACTAATAAGTATTGAGGCTTCGTCTCTAGGTGTATCGTCCTCGTTAACAAATACCACATGATTTCAAAACGCATTATTTAATATCTACTCTGGGTTTTCCCGGTTACATATTGCAGCTATCACCACGCAGTCCACTATTCGGAAATTAACAGCAAGTGTGAAGTTTGTGGTCCCCATTTCTGCAACTTTTGAACTGCGTTTTGTTAAGGATGGTAAATTGCCCAAACTGCAGTTTACCTTCCAAATACCGTGCAGATAAACAATTAACAAACGGTGATTGAGAAATTATTTATTAAAGTTGTGAGATCATGTGAGATTAAATGTACTTGATTTTTCATATCCACCAAAGAAACAAGAACAATTTCTTTTTCCTGTTTTATTTATATATTTTATTTACGTTTCTTTTTAATTTTCTTATTTTTGTTTGTAGATGTTAATAAAACTGGCCACGAAATCAAAATCCAATAGGAGGTGCCCTTGCAATCATTGAGATCGACGAAACGCTTCTCGTGCGCCGGAAACGTGCTGGGCAGAAAGCACAGTCAAGTGTACTGCACGTCTGGGTAAAAAGAAAATCGTGGTGCCACTGCTGGACTGTGACCGCGAATATCCTTTATAATCATAAATAAAACGGAAGGCTTTGTACACCCGCACAACGCGTATATCCACATGCCAAATATCAAAGATTTCAAGGAATTGGTGAAACGCCTATTGCATTCCTTTAAGCGGCACAAAAATCAGGTAAGAGTTCACAAAAGCTTTATTATTTATTTGCTAATTAAATTTATCCTTTCATTAATAATAATTACGATGATTTTATTGTTACATTCTCATTTAATTTTTGAGGAGAAAATACATCACACTAATATTGACGATACTGAATATTTTAGTAAATGAAGAGATGAAAATCTTGTTTGAGGAATAATTACTGACAAAATTTCATTTTCGCACCCCCCCCCCCCCATGAACCCGTTAAATGACATTATTTTCAGGCCAGTCATTCATATATTTTATATAGATATGCAGTGTTCTTTGGTGGAAAATAATGTGATGGCATATTAATTTCTTACAGGAGAGCAAGACAAAGCCGTTGCTCCAGTCTATGGCGGATGACGGCAGGGCATTACAACGGACGCACGTCAGTAGATTTGTTATGAGATTTAACCTAATAAGCAGAACCGATGCTGTCCATTTGTTTGCCGCAAGATGCTCCTCATATCATTCTCTACTGCAAGCTCTGGGATGCTAAAGATTACTATCCATATATGGATATAGTGGCCAATAACTGTGATAGAAAGTATAGAACAGAACAGCAGTGTGTTTAATGGTTTTAAATGCTTTAAATGGATCATACCATGTTAAATTATGAAAAAAGAAACTAATAGCATTCGGCGAATTCAGCTCATTAACAACTACAGGAAATTAAAGTAGGGAATCAGACTGGAAAAAATAATGCAATGCAATCTAATGACACGAGTTTTTACCAACCTCGTTCAATCCACTAATAACCGTGCCATTTGCAGTTGACGTACCTCCCAGAGTCCTGAGAAAGTTGTGGATAGCGGTCAGTGACAAGAGCATATTGTTGTCTGCTTCAGCCTCTGGATGAATTCGAGCTCCAAGGTAATGTGCTTTACCAATTATGGCATTACTCTAAAGCAGCTGTTAATAAGCTCGTGATTTCTATATAAAAAAGTTGGTTCTTGGTCCTCCACAGGTGATCCAGTTGGGCAATGGCAGTGAATTCCAGATTAAATCTCGGGTAAGTGATTACCAAGATCCAAGCTTGATACAGATTTGATGCAAATCATCAGTTGTTAGGATGAGGCATGCTACACTTGATGCCCTTCCCCCACAGTGGAGGATGGATGAGCACATCTCTGCAATATGTAATGGTACATCCGTCCGGAGCTGCTCTGAAGAAACCTGACCTGGTTCAACTTTATGGAGGAAGTTACAGCTTGTTTATACTGATATGATGGACTCTAGAACCTATAATCGTAATTCCAGTTAACTGTCCTCGATCTTTATTATGTATACCTTTAGTCAGAATGGAGATATTAATGGAAATCCAGTCTTTTTACGACTTGCCTTAACCATTCATCTCTGGTAATTATTATTTTTTTATTATCTTAACAAACCATCCTTTGTATGCTAAGAAGTCAGTGTTGTCATCGTTCATAATTGTTTTGCTAAAAAAATTTTTTCCACACTTTGTTGTCCCTTTTTATGTTCGTAATTGTCTTTCATCAGCATGGCATTGATTTGAAAGTTACATTTTCCACATACAACCTCCTGAAATGTATTGGGTAGGAGGGCCTAGAGGTATGGAGCCACGGTTCACTGGTATGTGTACAATGCATACCCTAGTTGCATACCAATTTCTGCCCATTTATTCTGGACTGCTACCCAGGGAGTTGAAACAGCCGTAGGTACTGAGACATGGTCTGCTGACATGTGGATATACCTTGGCTTTGTTTTTACTCCTCAGATACCTGCCAGTGTCACCTGTAAATTTGAAGGCATGCTCGTC